TATTCCTGGCATCATCATCAGCAGCCTTCGTCTTCTCCTCCTCCTCCTCCTCGTCTTCTTCTTCCTCTTCTTCTTCACACACACACACACAGAGAGAGAGAGAGAGAGAGAGAGAGAGAGAGAGAGAGAGAGAGAGAGAGAGAGAGAGAGAGAGAGAGAGAGAGAGAGAGAGATTTTGGGCAGTGACTATTTCAGGCCTTTGAGCGCCCAGGATCTGATTCGACATTATAGGGGAGAGAATTATTCGAGTTATTCTCGTCTTCTCCCCCTTCTCTCTGCTTCATATTCTAACCCAGCTCCATCATTCGCGGTTTCCTCCCTATGAGTATGCACAAGGAGGGATATTTCTTCCATGTATGTCTCCCTCCTCGCTGATTCGACATGTTTGCTGATGTCAATGTGAGCCGAGTCTGAGTCCAATTCAGGTCATATCTTTGGGTCTTCCGCTGTACTCACTGCATTATACCATTTCTTTTCCAATGCGGATCCCCTTATTCGTGGATCACATCCCTACATATATAACTATCGCTAATTTCGGCCTGTGACAAGCAGATGATCGGGGCCCTCCGATTTTACACTCCGCGACGGTCCCGATCGTCTGCTGATCGTTTGCTCTTAGAAGTTGAACGGCCGTGGCTCTGCGCCAGGGCCGGTACCGATCCCGTGGCCAGTGCCAGTACCACGCGCTGTACCACGCCCACGCGCCAGCGCCCGTACCGATGCGTGTTACCGGCCCTACCGCACACGATACCGGGGTTGCGTGTGACGCGCTACCGCTACAGCTCTGCTACAACGTATAGTAACTAATTTTTTGGGCACGCGCACTGCCAAATTGAGGGCAGGTCTACCGGACGGCGGTTTGCTATGGACAGTCGCCGAGTTAGAGTCGACGCCGGTGCTTCTCTATGCTAGAAGTTGTTTTCGACACTCTAAGCTACTCGACGGCATTCTGTGCTACTCTAAGCTACTCTAAGCTACTCTAAGCTACTCTAAGCTACTCTAAGCTCAACTCTACCCGTTTTACACACACACACACACACACACACACACACACACACACACACACACACACACACACACACAC